TCCATTAAGGTGACTGCTCATAAGACTGGGTACTCAAGGTAGGTTGCATGGAGGGAGACCACTAGTTGCTCCTGGGTGAAGACCAGTCTCAGGTTCTGTGGGTTCACTCAGGCATAGCTGCTATCCCCCTCTTTGGGGTAGATGTCCCATCATCTAGTTAGGGCATCAGGCTTAGCCCTGAGCTTACCAGGCCTGAATCAAATGATCATATTGAACTGGGAGAGGAATTCTGACCAGTGAGCTTGGTGGCAGGTGAGTACCTTCAAGGTAGAAAAGTACTCTAGGTTCTTGTGGTTGGTGACAATGTTGACCAGTGAGGCCAAGCCCTCAAGGTAGTGGCACCAGGTCTGGAATGCTTCAAATATTGCAAGCAATTCCTTATCATGAGTATTGTAGTTCAACTCTGGGGCCATCAGAGTACAGGAGTAGAAAGTGATTGGGTGTACCTTACTGTCACTGCAAGTGATGGAAAGGATGCCAGTGATGGCATAGTCTGATGCATTGGTCTCCATGGTAATGGGGACCATGGGGATGAAGTGAGTTAAGGCTGGCACAGTTGTGAAGGCAGCCTTGAGGTTGTCAAATGACCAGTGGCACTCCTCAGAGAAGCTCCAAGGAGTGCCCTTGCAGGTAAGCTGAGTCAGTGGTATGATGATGTCTGAATAGTTAAAGATAAACTGGTGATAGAAGTTTGCAAAGCTGAGGAAAGATTGTATGTCCTTGACCTTGTGAGGCTTGGGCCAATCACAGATAGTCTGGACTTTTCCCTTGGACATTGTGAGGCCAGCAGGGGAGAGGTGGAAGCTGAGGTACTCAACCAAGTTCCAGTGGAACTCACATTTCTCCAGCTTCACATAATGGCTGTGAAGCTGAAGCCAGTGGAGTACCTCTTGGACATGCTGCTTGTGGGACTCCTTATCTCTGGAGTAGATTAGGATGTCATCTAGGTAGATGACTATGCAGACATCCATCATTTCTGTGAAAATGGTATTCACAAAGCATTGGAAGGCAGCCAGGGAATTGGTGAGGCCATAGGGCATCACTGACCACCCATAGGAACTGTACCAAGTCTGGAAGGCAGTCTTCCATTCATTGCCCAGAGCAATCTGGATGAGATGGTAAGCATGCTGAAGATCAATCTTTGTATAGATTTTGGCCCAGCTTGGTGAGTCCAAGAGGTCAGAGATGAGTGGTAGTGGGTATTGGTCTTTCAGAGTGATTATGTTGAGGCTGCAGAAGTCTACACAGAACTGGAGGGAGCTGTCCTTCTTCTTAATGAAGAGGACTGGTGCAGCATAGGGTGAGGAGGTCAGATGAATGAAACCAGTGGTGAGGTTTTCATTGATGAAAGTCTGGAGAGCTTGGAGCTCGACCAGGGACAGTGAATAGATGGTGCCTAATGGCAGTGTTGTTCCTTCTTCAAGCTCTATTTTTAGGTCATACTCCTGGTGAGGCAGGAGTGCCAAGGCCTTGGCACTACTGAAGACATCAGCAAAATCATGGTACTCTTCCAGAACATTGGGTAAGGCTGGGGGAGAGGAAGCCAAGGCCAATTGGGCTTGAACTGAGTTTGGGGGGTGGAGCTGAAGTTGGAATTGGACAGACCCTTCAAGTTTTCAGGCATGCATGAAGGTCACTGCATTGATTAGGGAAACAAGAGGGGCCTTCAGGGGGGTGCAAGCCGGGGAGTTGGAGACCAGTACAGATGGTGCAAGGTCATGTTGGTTACTAGGACTGGGGTCAGGAAGACTGGTGGGAACTGGACTTACAGGGGGTGTCAACAGGGTTGGCATTCCTTGTGTATGAGTCCAGAAAGTAATACTGCTCAATACCCAATCAATCAATGGATTGTATTGGGTGAGCCAGTTATGCCCAAGAACTACTTTACACTTGGAATCCAATGGGGCTAGATACAGGGTTACCAGTGTGACATCTCTGGACATGAAGCAGATTGAGACATCTATTGCTTGGGTTATGCTGAATGTGGATGTTCCATCAAAAAGCCAGAGTTGGATTGGTGAGACTGAGTAAGGGGTAAATGAATGTTGATTAACAAATTGATTATCTATAAAACAGTGGGTGGAGCTGGAGTCCACTAGGGTATGAAGCTGAGGTAAATCATGACTTTCTATAGTGACATAGGGGGTTAATGAATTTGGACTGGAAAGAGCAGATGTGTTGAGTCTAGCCTCCAAGTTTGCACAACCAGAGTCAACACAGCTCCCAGATTGTGTGGAGTCCTGGGAGCTGCTACCTATTTTTTTTGTCTTGGGGGTAGAACCTGAGCCTGAGGCTGGTGCAGCTTCAGTGGTAGCCACAGCACAAGCCTTGGCCTTAACAGCTTTCTTGGGGCACTTCTCAGTGAAGTGGCTGGGGCCTCTGCAGAACATACAGAGGTCCCCTTCAATGCGACCCTTGCATTCCTCAGGAGTGATCTTTCCATCCTTGCTGAGTTTGCTAGACTCAGGCTTGGGCAAATTGCTGTTATTATCGTTGCCCAGTTTTGATGAAACCAGCTTGGACTGGGTAGAACCAGTGTTGTTACTGCCGGGCTTGGGCCTGTCCTGGCTGGCCTTGGATTGACTGTTGTTACCTGAGCTGCTGGACTTGTTGTTGTTGTTGTTGGAGGAGGAGGAGGAGGAGGAGCTCTGATGCTTATTTGCCCATTGGATTTCTTCTTTGTGCTCCCAATAGCACACATCTATCTCCTGGGCAAGGTGGTGGAGTTCATGTAGTGTCCAGGGCTTGCCAACCTGACAGACCTCATCCTTGATCTGGTCTGGGAGTCTGGAGTAGAAGTGGTGGCACAGTGCACCATCTCCATAGCCTTGGACTTGTGAAGCAAGCTGATTGAAGTCCACTACATATTTGTTGATGTGCTGACTATCCTTCATATGTAGATGGTCGAGTTGGCTCTCAGCATCAGCAACTGGGTCACGAGGGCTGAAGGTGGTTTGTAGTTCTAGGATGAACTCCCTCCAGGAGTCCGTCCAGAGAGGCCAGTCATCAGGGTCCTCAACCCCAAGCAAGTCTGGCTCGAACCATTCTAAGGCCATGCCCTTGAGGTAAGACTGTGTGAAGATGACTTTGGCATGGTCAGTCCTAAAGGCCTGGGGTCAGTCTTGGAGATTCAGCTTGCACTGAATGAAGAAGGCACAAAGTTTCTTGGGGTCAGTGCCATCAAAGGTATCAGGCTCATGGAACTTGGTCATGCTTGAGTACTCAGGAACAGTGTGGGCATTGTGAGTCAGCAGTTTGATGGCTTCTGCGAGGTTGTCCAGGACTGTAATTGCAGGCTTGGTGTCTGGGTCTGGGACATCCAGTTTGTCCTCCAGATCATTCTCTTCTGGATTATCATCTCTGGGCCCATCATCACCAGGACTGTTGTCATAATTGTTGCCTGGCCCATCATCACTGGGGTCATCCTCAGGGATGGGAGCAGTGGGGTGATGTGGGGTGGGAGTATTGGACATCCAGGCTGAAAAGCCCCTGAAAGGACCAACAGGATCTGGAGAGCACCTAGTGGTGCTCAGGGCAGCTAGTGCTGTCCCACAGTGAGTTCCACTGGCTGAGGTGGAGTTGGGGTTGGTGGCAGAACAGCCACAGGGAGGTTGGAGATGAGTCTTGGTTGCCATGGTATGTTAGACCCACACAAGTGGTGAGTCTGAAATACTGTCAAGTTCATGATGTCTGGGTTGAGGCCAGACTGGAGACTGAAGCAGGCATGAGGCCAAGAGGGGTTAGGGTCAGAGGTGTAGCAGAGATACAGAAGGGTGGATTGATTGGACTTAGCAACTGAGGTTACAGCACTATTCCCTTGCATGGGTCCCAGTCTGAGTCTGAGGCTGAGGCAGGATTATCAGAGTAACTTAGTTGATTTCAGACTGGGGAGTACAGGCTGAGTATCTAAAAGCTTATATACTAGAAGTAGCTATGGTACAGAGACCAGTAATGCCGGTCTTGCAAAGATTGCTAAGATGATTGGTAAGACAAGTATTAGTAAGGTATGACTAAGGTAATGGAGACTGGGATTGGGCAAACTGGGGACAAGACTGGGCAGAATTCAACCAAAGTGACCCACAATGCAAAGCAGTGTGTACCACACTAGCCCATCTGGGGATAAGGGATTGGCGAGGCTGAGGCTGGACTGAGTGAATGCAAGGCCAAGTCTGGCCAGGGTCAAGACACAACTATGACACACATGCCCATGCTGCTTGAGTTCTGGTCTGGGTAGGCATGCTGAGGGTGCAATACTGAGGTTTGGACAGAAGGGTAGTGACCCACACAAGTGTGAGTCTGAAATACTGTTAAGTCTGGTTTGTCACCAGTCCAAAGCCAGTCTGGAGTCTGGTCAGGGGTCAGAGGCTAATATGAGATACCAAGGGGTTTGGACTGTTGGACTTAGCAACTGATGGCACAGTGCTATTCCCTTGCATGGGCCATAGTCCAGTCAAGAGATAGGAGACAGAGAACAGAGGGGACCAGGTTATGATGAAACTAAGTTGATTTCAGACTGAGGCTAAACAGATTATCCTATGGCTTAAATACTAGAGGTAACCTAAGTGTAATGTAGCACCAGAGACTGGTTTGTGCTGGTACAGTGATGGTTGGTAAACCAATTGGTAAGTATTGTTACAAAGAATATTATCAAGCAAGACTATGAACAAAGGATTACCAGGAACTGGGGCAGGACTTGTGGCAGGACTGGGTATTACACTGGTCCAGTACCAACTGAGCAGACAACTCAATTGGGCACTGCCTTGCAGTGCCTCATGAGGGTTAAGGCTGGGACTGGTGTAGGGAATGAGTTTGAATTCCCTACGAGAAGTCATCTTGGTCAGAAGAAGATAGGGGTCGGGGGACTTGTGTTTTATTTCTTGCTTTTGTTTTCATGTTTGTACCACTAGACTTAGTGGTGAGCAGCTGCATTGCTGACTAAGCATGTGTGCTGTGTTCGCATGAGTTCAGTTTACCAGGGAAGCAATTCATCTCAGAGGCCCTCAGTAGTAGGGTGATATAGTCTCACACTTTGGCAAGTTTTCAAGGTTAGAATTATTACTTTTGGGAGTACCCAAAGTGCCAGGAGGACTGGCAGAAGGTATTGGACAGACAGAGCTAAGTATTCATTTCTAGTTCGCATTTTTTACACTTTTACTACACTTCTTTCTCCAGTGAGAACCTCCCTTTTGGGTCAAGCACAAATCTTGCCCATCACTGACAATTACTAATTCTAGGTAACATCTATTACCTATTCCTACACCGAGGCAAGGGTTGGGTGAGGCTGGTCAAGACCAGGGTAGAGCTGGTCTAGAGTAGTCTGGACATGGTTGTGACATCTACTAATTCTTCATAGTGTCTATGCTTACTGTGCCATGCTGAATGCTCTCACCCCCCAGCTTGGGACCCTACCTAGAATGGATTAGTAAACATCAGGGACTGACTATGAAGTGCATGTGGTCTTGTCACTTCTGCTTTCTGACTTGGAAGGAACACTTCCTTGACTACTTCACCATCATCCTTAGGTTTGACACAGAGATTCATTGTAGATGCTCTGCTGAACCCAACTTCTTCCTAACTTTTGATCAGTATCAATCATGCTTCATGCAGCTCTTGACTCAGCATATGAGATCAATTTTGACCTCCAGCAAGGCCCCTTCCTGTTCCCAATGCTTTGCTCCTTACAAGTGTCAGACTCACAATGGGAATCCTGAAGAGTCCTTTTGGAGTAACCCATGTCTCACCCCTACCTGTGTCATCTGTCTGCACACTTGTCATAAATACTTGGTCTGCAATGAAGAAACTATGCAGAAAGGCCAACAAACTTCTGTGAGAGCCCAAGATGGCAAACTTGTCTGTCACGACAACAACACTCCCATTTGCTTCACATTTCAGCTTGCAGTTGTCAAATGTCCCTGTCGAGATGATCATTCCAACCAGCATATATGTGCCAGCTGCAGCTCCCATGACCACAGAGCCTCCTACCATAGGTCCACTTAAGCATTCTGCACCTTTCCTGAGGTTGAGCAACATTTTCCCCAACATTTTGTCTTCTCAATGTCTGCATGCATCACATGCACCAGTTATGACTCAGACCCTGACTTCTCTCACATTCAGATTGACTGTTTAGTCCAGTTCATTGCCAGTCCAAAGCTGGTCCAGAGTCTGGTTGGGGGTCAGAGGGGGAATGAGATACTAGAGGGTTTGGACTAATTGGACTTAGCAACTGCAGAGCAGTGCTATTCCCTTGCATGGGCCATAGTCTGGTTGAGAGGCAGAAAACAGGAGACAGAGGGAGACTGGGTTAGATGAGACTAGTTTGATTTCAGCCTGAGGTTAAACAAATCTTCCTACAGCTTAAATACTAAAGGTAAACTAAGCGTAATGTAGCACCAGTACAGTGGTGATTCCCAGTGAAAATTAGACATCAGCTAGTATGACAGGATGTGATGTAGTCTGACAGATTATAGCCTAAGAAGGCAAGTAATACCATGTCACACAGACTCACAACCTGCTAGCAAGACTGGACAAATCTTGTCCAGTTGGGCAGGACCTGGTGCCATCTAGTATGAATTTCTGCACAAGGTTGCACCAACTAATAAATGAGCACATTTTGTTTAATCAACATGTATATTGGGAGATAATGTACCTAAGCAAAAATCATCTGTGAGTTCCTCATAGATGGCAAGAAGAAGCAGGTTGCCTGCATCCAGTGCAACCAACTGAAAGAGAAGTGCTGATGGCCTGGGTACAGGAAAGATGCCAAGGCCAGTCTTAAGGCTGCTGGGAGGGTCAACAAAGGCAAAAAAAAGAAAGTCAATGAGGAGATGCCTGAGCCTGGGCTGAGCAAGAAGTGGGTCAAGGTGAGTGTCAAGCTGATCAAGGTACTGGACCTCAATGAACCCAAGGCTGATGGGAGTAGACCAAGGGAGTCCAGTGCAGTGCAGTACTCAGGCTTGGAAGGGAAGCTCAACTGGCTGATTGATGCCACAGGGCTGATTGCTGTCATAGTCATGTATTGACCCTGGCCAGACTTGGCCTTGCATTCACTCAGTCCAGCCTTGGCCTCACCAATCCCTTATCCCCAGATGGGCTAGTGCAGTACACACTGCTTTGCAGTGCAGGTCACTTTGGTTGAATTCTGCCCAGTCTTGTCCCCAGTTCACCCTGTCCTGGTCTCTGTTACCTTAGTCATACCTTACTAATACTTGTCTTACCAATCATCTTAGCAATCTTTGCAAGACCGGCATTACTGGTCTCTGTACCATAGCTACTTCTAGTATATAAGCTTTTAGATACTCAGCCTGTACTCCCCAGTCTGAAATCAACTAAGTTACTCTGATAATCCTGCCTCAGCATCACACTCAGACTGAGACCCACACAAGGGAATAGCACTGTAACCTCAGTTGCTAAGTTCAATCAGTCCACCCTTCTGTATCTCTGCTACATCTCTGACCCTGACCCCTCTCAGCCTCATGCCTGCTTCGGTCTCCAGTCTGGTCTCAACCTGGATGTCATTAACTTGACAGTATTTCAGACTTGCCACTTGTGTGGGTCTAACATACCATGGCAACCAAGACTTGTTTCCAACCTCCCCATGGCCATTCTGCCACCAACCCCAACTCTGCCTCAGCCAGTGGAACTTGCTGTGAGACAGTGCTAGCTGCCTTGGGCACCACTAGGTGCTCTCCAGATCCCATTAGTCCTTTCAGGGGCTTTTTGGCCCAGACATCCAATACTCCCACCCCATGTCATCCCACTGCTCCCATCCCCAAGGATGACCCCAGTGATGATGGGCCAGGAGATGATTATAACAGCAATCCTGATGATGATGACCCTGGCAATGGTCCTGGCAATGATGGGCCTGGAGATGATAATCCAGAAGAGAATGATCCAGTGGATGAACCAGATGTTCCAGATCTGGACACCAAGCCTGCCATTATGGTCCTGGACAACCTCACAGAGGCCATCGAACTGCTGGCTTGCAATGCCTGCACTAGTCCTGAGTCCTTGAGCAGGACCAAGTTGCATGAGCCCAATACCTTTGATGGCACTGACCCCAAGAAGCTTCATGCCTTCTTTATCCAGTGCATGCTGAATTTCCAAGACTGACCCCAGGCTTCTAGGACTGACCATACCAAAGTCATCTTCATGCAGTCCTACCTCAAAGGCATGGCTCTTGAATGGTTCAAGCCAGACTTGCTCAGGGTTGAGGACCCCAATGACCAGCCTCTCTGGATGGACTCCTGGAGGGAGTTTGTCCTGGAGTTACAAACCACTTTTGGACCTCATGACCCAGTCACTGACACTGAAAGTCAGCTTGACCATTTACTTATGAAGGATACTCAGCACATAAACAAATATGTAGTAGACTTCAACTGACTTGCTTTGCAAGTCTGGGGCTACAGAGATGGTGCACTGCATCATCATTTCTACTCTGGGCTCCCAGACCACATCAAAGATGAAGTATGTTGGGTTGGCAAACTGCAGACTCTACACAAGCTACATCATCTCACCCAGGAAATAGATGTGCACTATTGGGAGTGCAAGGAAGAAGTCCAATGGGCAAGTAGGCATCAAGGCTTGTCTGCCTCCAGCAACAATAAGGCTGGAGGTTCTGGCAACAACAATCAGCCCAAGACCAGTCAAGAGAAAGCCAAGACTGACAGCAATAACAACTCTGGATCTTCCCCCAAGCCAGCTTCATCAAAACCAGGCAACAACAATAACAGCAATTCATCCAAGCCTGAGTCTAGCAAGCTTGGCAAGGATGGAAAACTCACCCCTGAGGAACACAAGCATCACATGGATGGGAACCTCTGCATGTTCTGTGGAGGGTCTGGTCATTTCACTGACAAATGCCCCAAGAAAGCCAGAAAGGCCAAGGCTTGTGCTGTGGCCACTACCAGGGCTGCACCAGCCTCAGGCTCAGGTTCTACCCCTGAGACAAAAAAATAGGTAGCAGCTCCTGGAACTCTGCACAATCTGGGAGCTTGTGTTGACTCTGGTTGTGCAAACTTGGAGGCTAGAGTCAATGCATCTGCTCTTTCCAGCCCAAATTCATTGACTCTGTACATCACTATAGAAAATCATGATTTACCTTGGCTTCATACTTTAGTAGACTCTGGTTCCACTCATTGTTTTATAGATAACCAATTTGCTAATCAACATTCATTTACCCCTTACTCAGTCTCCCCAATCTGACTCCAACTCTTCGATGGAACATCCACATTCACCATTACCCAAGCAGTAGATGTCAATATCCACTTTGCATCCAGTGATGCCACCCCAGTAACCCTGTTTTTAGCCCTGTTGGATTCTGAGTGTAAGATAGTCCTCAGACATGACTGGCTCACCCACTACAATCTGTTGATTGATTGGGTACTGAGTAGTCTAACTTTCTGGACTCCTATACAAGGAATGCCAACCCCATTGACACCCCCTGTAAGCCTGGTCCCCACCCATCTTCCTGACCCCAGTCCTAGCTACCAACCCAGCCTTGCACCATCAGTACCAGTCACTGACTACCCAGCTTGCACCCGCCTGAAGGCCCCTCACATATCCCTGGTTAATGCAGCTGCCTTTGTACATGCCTGCAAACTTGAAGGGTCCACCCAGTTCCAACTTCAGCTCTGCCCCTCAGACTCAACTCAGGCTCAATTGGCCTCAGCCTCATCCCCTCTGGACTTACCCAATGTCCCAGAGGAGTACCATGACTTCACTGATGTGTTCAGCAAGGCCAAGGCCTTGATGCTGCTGCCTCACCAGGATTATGACCTGAAAATAGAGCTTGAAGAAGGAACAACCCTGCCTCTCAGCACTATCTACTCACTGTCCACAGTCGAGCTCCAAGCTCTCCAGACTTTCATTGATGAAAATCTCACTACCAGCTTCATTTGTCCGACCTCTTCCCCCTATGCTGTGCCAGTCCTCTTCATTAAAAAGAAGGACAGCTCCCTCCAGCTCTGTGTAGACTTCCACAGCCTGAACAAAATCACTAAGAAAGACCAATACCCACTACCACTCATCTCTGACCTCTTAAACTCACCAAGCCAAGCCAAAATCTATACCAAGATTGATCTCCAACATACTTACCATCTCATCCAGATTGTTCCAGGTGATGAATGGAAGACCACATTTTGAACTCAGTATGGGTCTTATGAGTGGTTAGTAATGCCTTTTGGCCTCACCAATGCCCTGGCCACCTTCCAATGCTTCATGAATACCATTCTCACAGACATGTTGGATGTTTGCATAGTCATCTACCTTGATGACATTCTAATCTACTCTGGAGACAAGGAGTCCCACAAGCAGCATGTCCAAGAGGTACTCTGCCAACTTCAGCTTCATGGCCTCTATGCAAAGCCAGAGAAATGTGAGTTCCACTTGGACTCGGTTGAGTACCTCAGCTTCCACCTCTCCCCTGCTGGCCTCACAATGTCCAAGGAAAAAGTCCAGACTATCTGTGATTGGCCCAAGCCTAACAAGGTCAAGGACATACAATCTTTCCTCAGCTTTGCAAACTTCTATCACCAGTTTATCTTTAACTATTTGGACATCATCATACCACTGACTTGGCATACCCATAAGAGCACTCCTTGGAACTTCTCTGAGGAGTGCTGCTGGTCATTCAACAACCTCAAGGCCACCTTCATGACTGCACCAGTCTTGACTCACTTCATCCCTGGGGTCCCCATTACTGTGGAGACTGATGCATCAGACTACACCATCACCAGCATCCTTTCCATCACTTGCAGTGATGGTCAGATACATCTGGTCACTTTCTATTCCCAGACTCTGACCATCCCAGAGTTGAATTATGACACCCATGATAAGGAATTGCTTGCCATCTTTGAAGCATTCTGGACCTGGTGTCACTACCTTGAAGGTTTGGCCTCACCAGTCAATGTTGTCACTGACCATAAGAACCTAGAGTACTTTTCTACCTCTAAGGTACTCACTTGCTGCCAAGCTCACTGGTCTGAATTCCTCTCCCAGTTCAATATGATCATTCAATTCAGGCCTGGAAAGCTTGGGGCTAAGCC